TGAATAGGAATTAAAATACATGACTTTCTTTTGTGATTTCAGTAGTATTTAGGAAATTCTAACATTTGTGTTACAAACTCCATCACATAGTTTGAAACTCTGTAAAGTACAGTCTCACATCCTATTTTCTGATGACTTTTTTAGGTGTCCGATACTTCATCTTGCTTATGTCCTTACTGCTTTTAAGGCTGATTGGTTTTAAGTGAGCTGCTTTCAACTCGCAGCAACCCGTGCACAACAGAAGAAAACACTGCCCAGTCCTGCACCATACACACAATTGTTGTTGTGTCTGAGCCCATTGCTGTAGCCCTGCGTCAGACCAACTCACCGAAGGTCTTCCTCCTTTACGCTACCCTTCCACTTTCCCAAGGATGGTGTTCTTACATAGAGAAAGCTATTATTCATATTTTATAGATGAAGGTACTGAGTCAAGTAAGTTAATAACTTGTCTGAACAGCCTGTAAATGGCATGAGCAGAAGTAATTGAATCATGTATCAGTATTTTTTCCCCAACAGAACTATATCACCCATTTTGAGTTTTTCACTGTAATTCAAAACCTGCTAATTCAAGAATTGAGTAATGAGACATGTTACAATACGGATGAAACTCACGCACATGCTAAGTGAAATAAGCCAGACATAAAAAACCATACACTGTATGCTCCTTTTTGTGTGCACTACCCAGGATGGGCAAATCTACAGAGGGGGAAAGTAGAGGGGGGGAGGAGGAGATTTGAGACCGGAAACGCCGATGGCCAAGAGGTTTCTCATTAGGGTGATGGCTGGTAGCCGCCTCCACAGAATGGAGATGCTCTCAACTCTGACCACGGTGATGTATGCACAAACCTATCAATACCCTAAAAACAACAAAAGTACTCACTTAGAGGAGGTGGACTTTATGGTATGTAAATTATATTTTAAGAAAGTTGTTTTTAAGAAATTGAATTAGAATGATAAAATATGATATGCAAAAGAGTTTTATCAAGATAAGTATGTATTATATCAAAAAGATTACTAAAGGAAAAAATCATCAAAATGTTTTCTCTACTTGCAATAAGTTTGAAAGTCAGCCAGATACATTTAAAGAAGAAAATAAATACTGAAGTGATTTGGCTGAACTCTGCCTTTCCAAGTTTGTGACTGCTGACAGGTAAAGGACACTTTATTCTACCAGGGGAAGGAAAAATCATTTAGGCGAATTGCTTGGTGGGTCACAATGACCTTTGAGAGGAAGATTATCAATTGAGATAAATTATGCATTTGAAAATTATATTAGTGTGAGAAAACATGAAAGTATTAAACATATGTAAATAAATCTCAAAAAGATAACTTTGTCGTTGTTGCTATATGTGTCTTCTAGGCAGTTCCAACCCATAGAGGCCCTAAGCACAATGACACACTGCCTGGTCTGCGCCATCTTCACAGTTGGTTCTATGCCTGAGCCTACTGGTGCAGCCACTGTGTCAATCCATGGTGTCCAGGGCTTCCCTCTTGTTTGCTGCCCCTCTACTTTGTCAAGCATCATGTCCTTCTCCAGGGACTGGTCTCTCCTGACACTGTATCCAAAGTATGGAAGATTAAGCCTTGCCATTCTTGCCTCTAAGGAGGCGTCTGGCCTCACTTCTTCCACTGCAGCTGTGTCTGTCTTCTTATCAGGCCTTGGTACTTTCAAGATCCTTCTCCAGCATCACATTTGAATTTGAATTGTGGTGCCAGAGAAGAGAGCTTTAGTTTAGCCTTTAATACTTTACACTTCAAATTTTAGTTTCTATGTTTACTTTCCTATGAAAAAAATTCCATATTATCATTAGAGTTACTATGCTTTTGACAGTGTTAACTTATAAATCATTATTAAACTAAATGGCCCACAATTATCATATGCACTTACAATTTTTGCATGCCTGCTATAAAAAGCAGGGACAATGTGGAGAAAGGTATATTCTGATTTTTTATGTAGAAAAGTAATCAGCATAACAACAATATACTTGAATTAAAGTTGGAATTATTTAAAAGAAAAAAAGGGGGGGAATGTAAATGAACACTAAGGAAAAAGAAAAAGAAGGAGATGTTGCCTGATCCCCTTTGTGCTTTCATCACTGCATCAGTCCATCTCCCCAAGGCCTCCTCAGTAAAGACCTGCTGAAAATAACGCAGTCAACCTCAGGACAAAGTCAGTCAAGGGCCAACAGGGGAGAATAGATGAGTTGTGGGAAGAGGCTAATGAACAAAGTAAGGTAGTTAGTTTGGTAGGTGCCCTTGAATTTGATGCTGATTCATTGTGACCCTCTGTTCAACACAACAAAACATTACCTGGTCCGGTACCATTCTCACAATCGTTGCTATATTTGAGGGATTGTGATGCAACTGTGTCAATCAACTCCTTGAGAGTCTTCCCTTTTCTTTACTTTACCAACCATGATACCCTTCCCTGGAGACCGGCCTCTCCTGATGACGAGTCCAAAATACGTAAGATCACATCTTGCCATCCTCACTTCAAAAGAGCATTCTGGCTTCAAAGACATGATTTGTTTGTTGTTCTAGCAGTCCATGACATATTTGATATTACTTGATAACACTATAATCCCAATACATCGATTTGTCTTTATTCTTCCTTGTTTATTGTCCAGGACAGTTTCTGCATAACACAGACCTGGGTGTGAATCTCATCTGCATGACTTGAGAACCACAACAAGAACAACGGACTGTGATATGCAAATGACACAACCTTGCTTGCTGAAAGGAACGAGGACTTGAAGCACTCACTGAGGAAAATCAAGGACTGCAGCCTTCAGTATAGATTACAACTCAGGGGAAGAAAACTCCAATCCTCACAAGTGGATCAAGAGACAACATCATACTAAATGTATTAAATGGAAAAAAAGATTAAAGTTGTCAAAGATCTCATCTTGATTAGATCCCCAATCAACACATCAAGAAATCAAATCTACACAAGACCTCTTTGAAGTGTTGAAGAGCAAAGGTTCACTTCCTCATGTCCCTTTTCTAGTCAGACAAGTGTTCACCTCCCCAGTCCTGGGGAGTCCTGCCAGCCCTGATGCTGCCCGAGCCTTTGTGCTGGAGTTAGGGAAAAGCCGAGCGGACACAGTGAGAAAATCATGAGCGGGGCAGTCTGACTCCATTTGCTTTCACTGTGCTTCCATGCATGGCATGATACCAGTCTGAACCTCGGTAAGATAGGGAAATCGTGCCTGCTTTTTACACTCACTCTAATGTCAGTTGACAGAAGTATTTTATTTAAAATGCTTCTATGATGTCTAATGCAAATAGTCTCTTATGGTTAGGCTTGGGACTGAGTTACCAGCAAAGGTATTTTTCTAAAGGGCTACCTCGCTCCAATCTCCTCATGCTTGGAACATTCCCACTCATTGCTAACAGATTAATTTAGCTAAAATACTGCTCTTCTTACATCTTTCTCCTGGTGAACCATTCATAATAATTCCTGATGACTTTTAAGAATAAGTACAGACGCCTTAGCTTTATTTGCCAAGACACTCTTTCCCCTGAGTCATGGAGAAATTGAAAACATTTCCCAAATTACCCAAAATAAAACATTTAATCTTTTGGGAAAATGAATGACAGCTAAAACTCTTGATTTACCTTATAACATCATATCCAGTGTTTTCCCTCAGCAATTTAAACCACCCACCCACTGAGAATAAGGATATACAAAGTCAATTCATTTTATTCTCCTGAAATCTTACTTTTAACTTGAGATGTCTTTAGAAACAAGGGTCAGTGAACAAATGTTGCTACAAAGGCATAGAGGCCTTCATTAAACAAAAATATCAAAATATGAATCTATATATGTCTCAATATGTCCTCCACTTTTCCAAACCTGCTTCAAAAATTCTTTACTCTAAACTTACAGCACCACAAAATGGTAGCTTTGGCATCCTTAAGGACTCAAATCATGTTCCTTTTCAGTATTCTTTGATTTTAAGGGACAGAAAGAAAGCTAATGGGGTAAATCAAGGTTGTGGGGTAGATGGATAAAATTTCCCAATGGAAATCCCAGAGGACAGCCCTGCTACCCCTCTCAAAGTAGGTGCATTGTTGTGAAGGAAAAGTGCTCAGCGTCATTTTCTTTTCTTTTTCTTCTCACCAAGGCAGTCTTCAAATTTCCTAAAACTTATTCCTAATAAGACCCTGTTTCATCCCATGGCCTTTGAGAAACTCTAACAAGACTAACCCTTTTGTAATTCTCAAACCAATGGCCATAACTGAGCTGAACTTCTACCCTGGATTTTATGGACCCACAGATCCCCTCAGAGGACACAATTCTTATGGGGCCTTTTCTCCAAAGGTGCCTAAAAGAAACTAAAAGTGTGCTGCTGTGTGACCTTGTCCACAACCAGCCATCCACTGATCTCAGAGACATGAATACCCATTTGGTTTGGAATAAATCTGTGCATGTATGACCTGAAGCCCTAGGAGCAATAAGTCTCTATTTACCTTCATATACTATCTTAAATCTAAATATTGTAAACATGCACAACTGTTTTTGATGAACCATTGATTGGATATGTGAATTAAATGTCAATGAAATGGTTAAAAATACATGTAAGTACATTTTTTAAAATTTAAAAACATTCTAAATAGCAGAATGTAAAGTGGTGATAGCGAACACTGATCATAGACACAGTTGTTGCCCCCAACACATATAAAACCCACTGCTCTCTCAGTTCGATTTGGCTCATAGTAATCCTGCAGGGCAGAACAGAACTATTCCTGGGGTTTCTGAGACTGTGAATGTGTTCAGGAGCAGACAGGCTCGGCTTTCTTCCAAAGAGTGGCTGGTGGCTCAACACAGAACCCACTACGCCACTGTAGCCAGCTATTGCCACAGTCATCAATGATGATGCAAAGTTATAAAACAAAATAACTACAGATTGTTTGGGGGCTATAAGAGAGACTGCGATTTAGACATTTTTTTATATTAACTAGTGGCTAATAGCAGTGAAAAAGTCATTTTCTCTTACCTAGCGCTTCTTTTTGCAAAGCAGAGCACCTGGCTTGTAAGTTCACCTCTTGTTTGTTGGATCTCTGAATCTGCTGTGATGTCAAAATGGCTGCATTCGACAACACTTTCAGATGTCTCATTTCCTCTTCGAGGTGTGCCTTATCTCTCTGGGATGCTGTCAGGTTTTTATTTAGTGTGGCTATTTCTATAAAGAAACACGCAAGTTTGTCAATAAGCAGTAATAAGTTGTAAAATATTGCACCCCGAACCCTGATGTTTCTTTTGTAAGTTTCTTGGGCAAGGGCCAGCATGGCATGCCTTTTTGGAGGGCATGACGGTCCCCAACTAAAAGGCTGAGTTTAAATTCAACAGTGAGCCCAAGGAAGAGAGGAGAAAATGGGTCGTGTTGCTAAAGGATGCGTGAAACCTTTTAGTACATATTTCAGCCTTTAAATTGTATTAAATGTAAAGTCAGTCTGTTTTTAAAAGACTCATTTAAATGAATAATATCTGTACAATGTTCTGCATTTTATTGAAATGAAATTGGTTTTTTTGGTAACATGATTCAGAAATGTAAATTGAAATGTACCAGCATAACTGATTGGGGTATTGCTAGCAGAAAAGCTAGGATATATGGAATAGAAGTATACAGGGTCAAAAACTAGTAAATTTATGGGCAGAAAGCATTATCTAATATATCTTCATGATTCTAATTGTCCTCTATCTCCACAAATCAGACCAGAATTCATAACAGCAATCATCTGCCATTATTCTATCTACTTCTATTATTAAGTTGAATAAAAATATGCCTTCACAGATTTACTTAGGTTTAAATGTGTGAATTTTACAGAATTTTGTGAGAAATACATGGAGTATATTATCCTTCATAGTAATTTTCACACTCTTTCGTCAACAGTCTCCTCATTGCTGCTTTAACTAGCATTCAAGTATATAAGCATAAATAAGAATAAAATAAAATCGATGGGAATGTGCTCGACATGATAACTCAAGAATCTTGTTGGCATTCCCTTTCTGGGTTCTCACATCCCTGGAGAGTGTGTTGGGTTCAGCGTGTGACTGGTGTCAAAAAGAGTTGGCTTGGTCTCTTGCTCTGTGGCACCCACATCAAAACAGCACCCACATGGGCCAGTGATGACTAGAAGTGGCAATAAAGAGGAGACTCTGAGGCACGAAGAATCTGCCCAGGGCCCTGGTTATGGCAGAAGCAGAGCAGAGAGGTAGAATAGCACAGGAGAGAGAGAATGAGTGTTTCTCACAAGCTGGTAAGGAGCAGAAGCAGGATTGAGGTCCACAGTGAGAAAGGCGAAAAGGCTTCCCTCGAGTAGAAAAGCAGGTCTGGGATTAAGTTAAGCCTGGGCCTGAGCACAAGGGGTCAAGCACCTGCCTCACTTTTCGTTTCTGTTCCAAATGGAAAACCTGGAGAAGTAAATGGGCTGGAACCAAATACATGGGATTGGACTACATTTCAATTGGTACCACATGTGACATGCCACCTGTGGTAGTTTCATAATTCCATGTCAACTTGAAGCTATATAAAAGGGTAACGGTGGCATGCAACCGGTCAACCAGGTCGCAGCCTAATGGTGCCTCCCTGTGGGTGTGGACTTCTCATAAGGAGGGTCCTGGGAAGCACCCCTCTCCCTCTCTGTCTTCACCTTCCTACTGGCAGACCCTGACTGCTGCCAGAGCCACCACAATTGGAGCCACATGTCTTTGGCACCAACCATCCTGTGATCTTCCTGCATTCTGCATCATTGCATGTGGCTGTGTGAGTCTGAAGAGGGACTTATGGACTAGTCTCAGACTTAGGGACTTGAGCTGGACTAGGATGGGATGTTTCCCTGATATATAACTACTTTATTGATATAAAGTTCTTTTTTGCTCTTTTAAAAAAATCATTTTATTGGGGGCTCATACAGCTCTTATCATCCATCCATCCATTGTGTCAAGCAAATTTGTACATTTGTTGCCATCATCATTTTCAAAACATTTTCTTTCTACTTGAGCCCTTGGTATCAGCTCATTTTTCCCTCCCTCCC